GGTTAAATATTATACGGATTTAATAAAAGTAGCATGGGCATTGTTGAAGTAGAATTTTCATTCCATTTAGGGAAGCGGAAGTTAAACAAGTAAATGAAATTTATTACTATCCACGGTTGAAAATATGTATTTAACATAGAAAGATAGAAGCAGCACGACATCTACAAGAACAGGAACGAGAGCAAATTTAAACTAGCGTTTAGGACATAGCTTTGGTTACACAAGCAGTAAAGACAATAGTCTTCAGTTAAACAGTCTACTAGTTTTAGTATTTTAAAAACTTAAATGTGTGATATGTATATAAATTTGATTGCAGTGTCTTTATCCATAAAACTATAACTAGCCATGAGCTTACAATCCACATGACATTGCATCAAAATGTTGGAAGTGAAATTTACTGGATCCCTGGCAAGAGCCAAGATACAAATGTGCTTATTTTGCAACGATCTTACAGCACTTTAGACCCCAAAACCTGGAATTTCGCCAAATAGCATTTGCTCCATATCCCTCTCTACACTGAACTGTGAGGGTGCTACTTCCCATACCGTAACAATGTCCAAGCTTTACACCACAGCTCTCAGGTTCACAATTCCGTTCTCCGTTAGATCCAGGTGAACCATTCTGTCCGTCCATTCCCCAACCACCCTTCTGCCCTTTAACTCCTGGAAATCCAGGAAGTCCTGCATTACCTTCTCTACCCATCTCTCCTTTTGCTCCAACATCCCCCGAGTTTCCAGTTGGCCCATTCTCTCCGTCTAAACCATCTGCACCAGGTTCACCCTCTGCTCCTTCCAACAAGCACATATCCCATGAACAGTAGTGGTTAGCTCCTTGAGCACCTTTATCTCCTTGTTCTCCTTGTAGGCATCATGTAGCCGGTGGGCCCGACATGATACGACACACCTCGACACGTCGGGGTTTTGTCGGGGTTTTGTCGGGGTTTTGTCGGGGTTTTGTCGGGGTTTTGTCGGGGTTTGTCGGGGTTTGTCGGGGTGTGTCGGGGTGTGTCGGGGTTTGTCGGGGTTTGTCGGGGTGCGTCCGGGTTTGTCGGGGTGCGTCGGGGTTTGTCGGGGTTTGTCAGGGTTTGTCAGGGTTTATCGGGATTCGTTAATAATGGATGAAAAGTGATTGGAAGTTGCCTAAAGAAGATTGATCAATGGCAGTATAATGGCGCAGGAGGGTCAACCTGAAAAAAACAGTGCTTGACCCTCCTGCCCCACACATGGATCAGGAGGCTCATTTCAGAAAAAGAGTGCTTGACCCTCCTGCCCCGCACATGGATTACAGGGGTCATTTGAAGCCACAAGACCATGTGCACGTATCACTACAGCGCGCGATAAGTACGCGCGTGATTACATAAAATCTTACCGCGCCCTACGCCAAGTAGACGAAAAAGCGTGGACGAAGAGCGAGAGTTGGTACAATGTGGCACACGAGTCACGTCAGGCAGTAGTTGATAAAGTTTTTAAAGTCGTTTTTAAAATATTGAATTATTTAGTACATTGAATTATGTAGTAGTGTCAAATTACCTGGGAACTGTTTGATACTTTGATGCTGAAATATTGTTATTTTATTTCTAAAAACATCAAGTTCTTGTTTTGGGAACTAAGATTTCTCTCGAATTGATCTTTTTTGGACATTGATTCATTGTACTTTAGAAGGCATTGTGATTGATTTGGAGAACAAAGGCCACCTCAGAAGCACATGTTCAAGTTGTGGTGCCCCAAAGTCTGAGGGGACCTCAATCCAAGTATATGGAGACGAGTGGAGGTGCAAGTCTTGTGCCTATCCCAACTTCTCCTACAGGAAGAATTGTAATAAGTGTGGGAGAAAGGAAGAGACAGAAGAAGAGAAGAAGGCGAGAGAGGATGAATGGGATAGGAGGGTGAAAGAGGCTGAGGAGAAAGCAGTAAAGACCAGGATAGAAGATGCTGAGCAGCTCATAGATGACGATGAGAGGGCTCTTGAGCTTGGGTGGCCTGTGGACTGGAGAAAAAGCGGTCATTATAGTGACGAAATGCTAATGCTGATCATGGACGAGACAGCGGAGGATAGGGAGAAGCAGAGGGAGAGGCGTAGGAAGAAGAAGGAGCTTGAGGGAGACGCTATTCAGAAGGAGATTGAAGGTGAAACTGAAAAAGAGATGGATAAGGAGGGCGATGATAAGTCGCAAGGAGAGAATGAAAAACATTGAGTACGTAATGAGCGGATCTATGTTAATATACTGGCCAGTACATTACCAATTATCATATTTTGATATCATTATAATTGTGATGCAATATAATAGATATTACATTGTTTTTTATTATTTTAACAATAACAAAAGGCTACACGTTAAATCTTCTTACATTGGGTTGCAGTTTTTAGAGTTCGACACATGTAGAAAATTATCAATGATAATTAAGAATATTTGTTTAAATTTTACAAATTGCATGATATTTTGGCCTTTGGGATACGTGTACTTCTAAGTTGTATAATGCCTTGTAAAGTACATTTTAAAAGTTACTTAGTATTAGTAATACTTTTGAAACTTTCAACAACTTTTATACGTATGTATGTATGTTTTTAAAAATACATGATACAAATTTTATTGTTTTTATTCAGCATCGCTTGTTTCATTGAATTGGATTTAGGCAAGTATTGGTAAGGAAGTGAACCGATGCGGCGTAGCAAAGCCTGACGCAACACTCCTTTCTTTTCATCCTGTGGCTCTTACTGTCTCCCACTCTTGCTCTTTTGGTCTCTTGCGCTGCGCTCTTGCTTTCTCACACTCTTGCAGTCCCGTCCGGTATCGTACTCTTCTCTCGTGCTCATAGCTTCATAGTGTGTATTAGATTATCATTATACTGAGTGCACAGTTTTAACAAGAATTGCACCCGTTGTTTCGTTTTGGCGGACGCTAGATTTCCATTCACTATAACTATAAATATAAGCTCTAATCAGCTCACTTCATAATAATAATATACACAGAGTACATTATACTACGCATGCCATGTACAAATTGGGCTTATTACCTAATACTGTACATAACATAGCATACATTAAAATACACTCGCGCCGCGCATTCATTGACACGCTAGCTATATATACATTAAATATCCGCAAGCAATACTTGCGCGCTGCACTGCGCGCTAGTTGTCATGGTAACTAACGGAAGGAAGGAAGGACTGACGACATATTTATACCCACTTAAATTACCTCGTTATGAGAGCTCCAGAGTATTATTTTCGTCAATTTGATACCGAAATTATTGGGCAAACTGACATAATCCGACATACCCTGACATATCTCGACACGTCGGGATATGTCGGGGTCTGTCGGGGTTTGTCGGGGTTTGTCGGAATATGTCGGGGTTTGTCGGGGTGCGTCGGGGTATGTCGGGGTGCGTCGGGGTGCGTCGGGGTGCGTCGGGGTTTGTCGGGGTTTGTCGAGCCTGGAGGCTACATGATGCCTCCTTGTTCTCCTTGTTCTCCTTGTTCTCCTTGTTCTCCTTGTTCTCCTTGTTCTCCTTGTGGGCCCACTGCTTCTGACCTGAGCAGAGCTGATGGGCACTCAGGAACATTACAATAATCCCATCTTTGATTATGGTTGGTTGTGTAGCACCAAGCTCCGTTGGGTTCGTCGTCTGGATTCCTGCAATGGTTGTGGTTTCCTAGTCCTGCTTCTGGGTAGCGTTCTGCGGTGACCCGGTGTTGGTGAGGATACTGCTCGCTCCATTTTTGGCACTGCAATCCTGATTCTGTTATTTGTAGTGGTCCTCTATAGTCCTTCTGCAGACCGTCCCAGCATTTATCCTCAGTGCATGAAGGGACAGGACAGTAGTCCCATCTTTGTAGAGGATTTGTTGTGTAGCACCAAGCTCCATTAGGTTCATCGTCAGGATTTCTGCAGTAATTATGGTCACCCAGGCCGCCGTTGGGATAGTTCTCCTCTGTTCTGCTGTGTTCATGAGGATCCTGCTCCAGCTCCGTCCATTTCATGCAAGTATGTCCCGAAATGGTTTCTTTAATACCACCCCTATAATCCTTCTGTAACCCACTCCAGCAAGCGTCTATGCTGTTAAAGTGTTAACATAACAAGACAAGATCACTGTAGCAAGTAAAACTTTCATCTTTTTCTCACCCTTCCACGAATTATTTCATCCTAAGGTAAATGTTGTTCTGGTTAGCAGGCAGTAAAAGAGTAATTTAACACAATCTGTGTACCCTTTCGATTAGGCAAAAATAGGAATTCTTTACAGAAAAAGTATTTTATTGAAATTGCGTCACCAAAATAGCAACAGAATTACAAGCCTCTTCTGTACTACTGGGTAATTTAAAATTCAAATAACCACTTGAAAGAAGTTAACATACCAAACACTGGGAATTGAGTTTTCATCAAGTTACACTTGTATAAGAAATAAAAGATACCAACTAAATTAACACGTTTATGAGGTAGAAATTAATACATCAATCACTCTGGGCATCAACCAATTATTAAGTCAAGTGTTGAAAAGTTTAAAATCATGGATAAAACGAGCATGGAATTAGAAAAGATCCAATTGGGCATGGGCATCATATATGATTATACGCTGATAACCTACCAAAGTCCAAACACTGATGCCGTTAAAACGTTAAAACAAGTGTCTACGAAATTAGAACACTGAACAGATAGGCTGATAACACTTATACAACCAACTGAAATCTTCATTCAGTACGACCAGCACACAGCATTAATTCAACATTCCCATGGCATTAACATTTTGAAGCGAGATAAGGACACGATTTTATGAATTCAGGAATGATTCATGTAATGGCATGGACCAATTTGATGTCCTATAATTGTAATCTAATCAAGATAATTATGCAAAATAGTGGAAAATATTAAATTGAATTATGATGCATGGCCAGTTTAGACTAGATGGAGTGCTATAATAAGGTCTAAATAATGTCACGTGGAGGGGCCAGGGGTCCTACACAACACCCCCACCCCACCCCCATCTAATAACATATAATTCTCAGGTTTGGAGCAGGCTCTGGTAGTATCAACCGGAGAAAACAGCAACATAACATCACAGATAGCTTCATACACTTACCAAAACAAGAGTGTTAAAGTAAGCCTCCATGCTACTAGACTTCTCACCGATATTTCTACCACCAACGCCGTCAGGTTTGTCTATATTTAGTTGCGCTGTGTTATTGAATCTCATTTGATGATTCTTTCAAAACAATTCTGATTATTTCTGCTCTAAATAAACTCATTTAATATTCTCTGCTTTACAGTTAACATCACCTAAACAAATAGATGGCTGAGCTCTGGGGAAATTTTCAAATTCTTAATAAATCCTAAAACAACTTAGCAGTCCGGTAACGACAGCTTTGTAACGTGTTGATCTCTGTTTCAGTCTGTACAGTGCATTAGGCGGCAGTACAGTACCCCTAGCCCTCGCCTTTGTCAACAGACTCACCTCACGATCCCAAGACGTCTACATAAAAAGTTCTATATTGGACTTTATATCAGCTGCAGTGGAAACGCAGCCCAGTGTTACTGAACTGTTTATGAGTATTGAGAAGGAGGGTGTCTTAGGTAGGTGGTTTACCAGTACCGCACAGTTAGAGCTGGCCTTTAACAGCTTGAAGTAACGATGGGATTATACTGAGAGCTCCGAATCTAGGGGCAGATTTCGTGCATGGGTTATAATTTGTTTTCTAATTTACATACTTTTGTTTTCTAATTTTTTTTAAATACTTGTTTTTTAGCGGTTTTCATGACAAATTTGGTTTTCATGTCCAAAAATTTGAACCAAATTCCTGTATTTAGATAGTAATTTAGTTTCAAATAACTTAAAAATAACGGAATACTTCAGGAGAGAACAGTTGTCTCCACCCAGTGCTGGACTACATAACTCGTTCCACCACGCTCCCTCTTGTACTGGTGTGTTCGGTGTACAGACTGTTATACAAGATATGGCATTACAGACACACTGCTGCCATTGCTGCTCTCAAAAACACCGAGGTACTTGTTACACTGGTTTCAGTTGTATATTGTAATATGAAATATTACAAATAGGTCAATATTATCATTAGATCTGTAATATTGCAACCTGCACACTATTATTATCTGCAATAATATTGCAGTATGATTTAACATTACAATTCTTCACTTTTGTAAAATGTCACATATAATTTATATCTTCACAATTTAAAACCTCCCGCAGAAGTTCTGGGAGAAGTTATGTAAGCACTGTTTCGAAGAGATCGACCTGGACAAGACCATCTCCAGCTACCAACTCCTGATCCGCGCGTACACATTCCACATCCTCGCCAACGACATCTTCTACAACCCCAGTGAGGACACCTCCAACATGGTGACCCAGCTCCAGGAGAGGGACTGTTTCCTGTACTGGACCAAAGTGCTGAAGAGGATATGTTCCTCTGTTGAGGATATCTCCCTGAATCAGAACTTTTTGTCGGAAGATCTGTTGTTCATGTTACCACTGTCCGAGGCTTATCTCTCGTTTGTCAGAGCGTGGCGGTCATTTCTGGTCGTTACACTAGTTGTGCGTGATAACAAGGACGATAAGCTCAAGGACCAGATTACGTTCCATATAGCTGGGGCTCTGTACAACCAAACTGCTAAACTTGACAAAAGAGTGACCCTGAAAGCATCCGCGGAATTTGCCTCGCTGCTGACGATCCTGCTGAAGCGACATAACAGATCAAGTGATCAGCCTGTCTTGATAAGAGTTTGTGTGCAGGTTTTAGAAACAGCTACTAAATCACCTCACGATTTGAACCAAATTGTAATTATCCCAGTGTTGGCATCTCTTCTGAACGTTCTGCAAGGCCTCGATCCTCAATCAAAAAAGCAGGTTTGTTACAAGCTTTCCCTTTAGCTTTTTTACGGGTTACGATTCGGCTGTTAATCTGCTGGGAGCGATTAACAGTCATTGTTAATTGATTTTGATAGCAGTGATTGAGTTATTCGGTCACAAAATAACTTCTAGCTATTTTATTTCATTTTCCACCTGATCAGTGATCATAATATGTGTTATGACACAAATCCTCTAAAATCTCCCTAATTCTTTACTCGGTCCTCTTGCCCAGGTGCTGAAAGACTCCGGCAGCACCAACGAGCTGGTAATGCTGCTTTGTAGTCAGATAACATCTGTAAACCCTAATCAGCTGGTGGCTCTCAGCTGTGCTACTCTATCCCAGGTCAGCAGTTATTCGAGCTTGTTATCTTACCCATGATAGTTTACCTTATTATCATCAGAAAATATTGTTTTTAAAAATGTATTTTTGTTTTTTTGTTTGTTTTTTGGGAGGTTTATATTGTTAAACACTGCTGACTGAACTATTATATATTAAGTTAAATCTATATCCTTTAAAAGTGACCTGGTGGTATTTGCACATTTACAACAATTTCTTGATTTGAATTTTGAAACTGTTTTCTTATTAGTTGCTTCTCAAACATTTAGGATGATTTCTGTTGTCAGGTGATAGAGACGACTGGGTCGGAACAGACGTGGTTCAGCACGATCAAGACAATAATACCTGGCCTGGTCAGACTGGCCGAGGAGAATATACTTAGTGCTACTCACGAGGTTCGTTATAGGTTTCGTTTAAGTATAAATATGTAAAAAGACTTTATTTATGATCCTTCCACTTTGTTATATTTAAGTTGAATTTTTAGGTATAGTTAAATCCAATACTACCTCGTTTGTAAATTCTTTTCGACGATGTTGTTATTATTCTACCTTCAGAGAATTACAAAAGAAACAATTGCACTGCTTACATTTGTAAAATTATAACAATCAGCATAACTTAAAATAAATTAAGAGAATCAGCGAAACTTAAAATAATTAAATAACAGAATTGACAGCACAACTTAAAATAGTTAAACAGAATCAGCACAATTTAAATAATCTAACACAACCAGCACAACTTTATTTACGTAATCTCAAAAGCTCAAACTCCTGAAAAATAATTTATATCTAGATTACTGTCGGAAGGGGGGGGGGGGGGGGGGGGGGGGGGGGGGGGGTCGGGGTTACCAATGGCATAAATGGCATAATGGAGAATTGGCCAATAAAAATTTCCATTTATGCCATAAAACGTATGCCATTTATGCCATTTTTGATATATTAATACATTTCTATTTTCTTTATTTGTCATATGAATCTTTAACGATCATACCAAGCGTTATAAAGCATGAAACATGTCTCTTATTCAAGTACTAATAATAATTTAGGAATTTAAAGTCAAATATACATAAACTTTTTATGTCCTATGCATACACTCCTTGATAGTTATCTTGATCTAGTATCTTTGTTTCACACAATAGAGCATAAGTTTTGTGGTTTATCCACTGGGCTTAGAGTTTGTGTTTAAGCTACCAAATTTTATTATTTATTATTATATGAAGACCTAAATTCATGGCATAAATGGAGAATTGGCCAATAAAAATTTCAATTTATGCCATAAAACGTATGCCATTTATGCCATTTTATGCCATTGGTACCCCCCCCGGGTGTCCTCTAAATCATGTCCTCTAAAAGTGTGTCCTCTAAAACATGTCCTCTAAAAGTGTGTCCTCTAAAACATGTCCTCTAAAAGTGTGTCCTCTAAAACATGTCCTCTAAAGTTCCGGCTCTGCTGGTGGGGTGTTTTCTGGGTGAATTCTTGATCTGGTCAGTTTCCGGCTTAATGTACCCGACAACTGAGAGTATTGTGTTTTAAAAGATATAGGGATCCCTCTAAGCCAACTCCTCATGTTTGGTTTGCGGATGAAGTATACGATAGGGTTAAACACTGAATTCAATACTATTAAAAGTTGAAATGAGAATGACCCATTTTGTTTGTCCCATCCTTTGATCAGCTTTGCTTGAGATCCTGTAACTATGAACTTAACATTCCGAGCAACTCCTAAAACCATTATACTGTTGCAGAAAATGAACAGCACTGAAAGTGTTAGAACTGTTTTTGCTGCTTCCGCATTTGTGGCAGAAAGTGGCAGTAGTCCAGGTCGGAGAAGCTTTATAACACATATGATGTTTGAAATTATTATCGCCATCATCAAGGTCATCATCCAAATTGTCATTTCACAAATGTTGGCGATTTGCCAATTGGTGAGGATGTTCTCATCCGATTTATAGACTGTACCTTTATGGTTCAATAACACCTCGACAGTTGCGCTATAGACGAAATAAAGTGAAATGGCTAACCATATGATCTTTCCTTTCATGCGATATAAAGGAGCACTGATCTTGATGGCCCGTGTCACTGCAATGACCATTGTGATGAACAGTGTGTTGTAAGTCACCGCTTTGTAAGCTAGATTCAGCTTGCTTTGGGAGTCAATCCAAAAAAAGATGGGAAATCTGGAACAAGCAATAAAATCCCAAAAAGTAAGCAGTAAGAACAGTTTGTTAGTGAGTCCATTCCTGGATTGAATCAGGAAGAAGGAAAAAGAAAGGGTATTAGCAAGGGCTCCAAAGATCGACACGGTTATTGAAATTATCAGCCACGCTGACATGGTTAACCATCTTCTTTGTGTTTCTTTGTCATTTCATTTCATGTTTTGTTGTCCTTTATTGAACGCTGAGAATGAGAATTTTTAATTTAATTTTAATAAATTTTGTATTGCAAAAGGTTGATTATATGTTTTCAATGAAATAATACGATAATCTCAAAGAATTGTGTTACGATGCTTATAAAACTAGCTAACACTAAAAAGAAAGCCTTCGTGGGAATATTTGTTAAAAATTTGGATACTAAGACACAAGGTATTTTTTATCTGTCTGTCTTAAATAAGGTTTTTTATCGTTGGCAAAGCAGAATTCTACCTAAACAAACTGTCAAAAAGTTTAGTTTGAAGTAGAATGAATCTAATATAATTATGTAATATAGTATGATGTATATATATATAATCCCTATAATATATAACCTGTTAGAGTTCAGATATTATGTGTATAATAATCGATATGAATAGTATTAACAGAATCAGCACAACTTAAAATAATTTAACAGAATTAGCACAATTTAAATAATCTAACACAACCAGCACAACTTTATTTACGTAATCTCAAAAGCTCAAACTCATCAAAAATAATTTATATCTAGATTACTGTCGGTACAATTGATATTAAGGATTTTGATGAATAATCCAATAATCAATCCTTGTATTACTAATAAATTCTTCTAGTAAAGAAACGAAAAAAGGAGGAAAAATTTGACACGACACACAATGTACATGATGCTCTTCCATATTCGTCTAAAACTTCAGAGAACTGCTACGTCAGAATAAAATCTCTTTGGGTAAAAAATGTTCCCGATATAACTATAAGTTATGACACCAAAAAACTTATAACCCGGCCAAAGTAGATAATATAGTACACACAATTCAGCGAACCTTCTTCGAACCTGCTTTTTTGTTGCTGAACAGGAAATTTCAATATTCTACTCAATTGATAGAAAATAACATGTCCTGTAAAGTGTGTCCTCTAAAACATGTCCTCTAAAAGTGTGTCCTCTAAAACATGTCCTCTAAAGTTCTGGCTCTGCTGGTGGGGTAATTTCTGGGTGAATTCTTGATCTGGTCAGTTTCCGGCTTAATGTACCCGACAACTGAGAGTATTGTGTTTTGAAAGATTTAGGGATCCCTCTAACCCAACTCCTCAAGTTTGGTTTGCGGATGAAGTATACGATAGGGTTAAACACTGAATTCAATACTATTAAAAGTTGAAATGCGAATAACCCATTTTGTACGTCCCATCCTTTGATCAGCTTTGGTTGAGATCCTTGTGCGGACCTTTACTGATAGTTGAAATTCGACATATGACGTCATCTAGCGTCATCTAGCGTCATCTAGCGTGAAATATCGCCAGATGATGATAGATGACGCTAGATGACGCTAGATGACGCTAGATGACGCCAATTAGCGACATTGTCGCTAAGTGCACGGCACCTTTCGAATGTCGCTATCTAGCGCCATCTAGCGCTATCTAGCGCTATCTAGCGCTATCTAGCGCTATATGACGCTATATGACGCTAGATGACGCTAGATGACGCTAGATGACGCTAAGCACGCAGCACTGACGCCAGGCGACAGATAGCGCTATTTTCATAAAATTTCCGCCCTTTTTTTTGCGACATCTAGCGGTATCTAGCGCTATCTAACGCTATATGTCGCAACGACATCTGACGCAGCGCTATCTAGCGCTATCTAGCGCTATCTGGCGCTATCTAGCGGAGAATGTCGGTTTGTGACAGTTTACGCTAGATAGCGCTAGATAGCGCTAGATATCGCGGCGACAGCTAGCGCTAGATAGCGCTATCTAGCGTAAACTGTCACAAACCGACATTCTCCGCTAGATAACGCTAGATAGCGCTAGATAGCGCTATCTAGCGGAGAATATCGGTTTTTGACAGTTAACGCTAGATAGCGCTAGATAGCGCTATCTAGCGCTAGATATCGCGGCGACAGCTATAGCTATGGCTATAGTTGTTAAACGTTAAATATATATAACGTTGGTTATAGGTTTTATTTTTAACGTTGCAAAACGTTTATTATTTGACTTCAGATCAAGGTTACCAGAGTTTAAAATTCAACTACATTTGAACGTTGTATGTAGGTTACATATAAAACGTTGTTAAACGTTAGATATCTAACGTTGGTTATAGGTTTTATTTTTAACGTTGCAAAACGTTTATTATTTGACGTCAGATCAAGGTTACCTTATTAACTATAAGCAGAGTTTAAAATTCAACTACATTTGAAAGTTGTATGTAGGTTACATATAAAACGTTGTTAAACGTTAAATATCTAACTTTGGTTATAGGTTTTATTTTTAACGTTGCAAAACGATTATTATTTTACGTTAGATCAAGGTTACCTTATCAACTATAAGCAACGTTCAAAACTCAACTAAATTTTAACGTTGTATGTAGGTATACATATAAAAACTTTGCCGGCTGGTATAGGCTTAGACTAATATTTTGAGAAAAAGCGGCGCGTGATAGTAAATTACGAGTATCACCCGTTAACGAGTGAGATTCTTCCAGTATAAGCTGTTTATGCTCTAACCATAGCCCTCTCGCTAGTATAGTAGTACGCTTAGACACATGGCTATGTGAAAGAAGATGTAGGGGGTGCACGATAAAAATAAACTTGCTCGGATTTTAAAAATTTTTGTACCATTGTTTTCTAGAGACTGTGAGAATTTTCACAATACCAAATTTGTCATACCTTTTTGAAAAGATCAGTGAGTTTCGCCTATGTGCCATATTTGATGGTGCGCGGCTTTTGGAGCAAAAGTAGCTGTAAAAGTCGCGTAATTTGACCAAATTCGTCCAAATTTGACCGTTTTTGTCGTATTATTCGGATATATCTTCAGTTCCTTAGATGAGATCATTCTGAAAATTGGCCACGACCTTCCAATAGGGTTTTCACATCTGTCCGAAAAATTTGGTGGATATCGGAGTTGATATAGTGATCAAAATGGGGCAAAATACGCTGCTTTTATGTTTTAGCTGTAACATAATGTCTGATGGTTGGATATGCTTTAAATTTTTCGGACACTTTCCTTCTTAGTCTATGAGTAAG